CCCCAAAACCCCAAAACCCCAAAACCCCAAAACCCCAAAACCCCTGTATTTTAAATTAAATAGATAATTTAAAATATTGACAAAGATGACAGACGATATTATTCCGTACTCGAGAGATAAGCTGATTGCCATTATTGATGATATTGTGTATAATGAAGATAAATAATATTGTATCTGTTTTTAAGGATTACTTGATCTATGATGATATTGGTGACTTCTTAAATAGGATGTATACTATGGAAGAGACTCTCCCCAGGCTTAATAGGTAAGAGGTCGCTTTTGTCTTTTGAGACAGTTAGAATTTTGGAGATATGAATAAAGATGGTATATAGAGTGACAAGGTATTATGCAAAATTGGGAAATCCGTTGCCTTCAATGGCTGCCCTAGAAGAACAAAAATTTATAACTAAATAACAAGAGGAGGAAGCATAGAAAACTCCAAGACCGCCTAGAAGCTCTCGAAAAAGTCAAGGATAGAGAAAACGACAATTTTTCAGTGGAATTAGATAGTTTTGAGAATAACAAGGTCTTTGACACTCAGATGGTAGAAAGGATTTTAAATGAGACTCCATGCGAAACCATTGATAATGATTTAAAAAATTTTGGACTCAATATTGTCTCTTCAATGTAACTCTTTTCAATTAAATTTCAGGCAATCATATGAACAAAATAGCAAGATTCTGAATAATACAAAAACCGGCTCAGAAATCTATGACCTTGATGTGCTCAAAAATATCCAAAATACTGAAGGAACAAACTCCTTTGAAAAGCTAGTTCAGGAGTTTGCTGAAAATTATACTGATCCTGAACTCTCTTCTGAGATCATTAAAAGACCGAAAACAGAGAATTCTTCTAAAGAAAATATTATAAAAATATCAGGAAGCAACTATCTAGAATTCGACAGTAACATTAGCATCATACAAGAAGATGATAAACGGTAAATTTTAATTTTACTCTACAGAACAAGCAACAGAAATCCTTCTCGAGGAGAATCCAAAAATAAGAAGAACCAAAAAAAAGTGTGTAAAAGGAACATCCAACTCAGTGGGTATGCCAATACCAAACCAAGCGTCACAAGTAAAAGCAAGGTTTATCTCAATAGGCCATTCTAGACGCACTACTGATTCGGTTAAAATTGAAGACCTGATCAAGGCAAGTAGAAGTAACATATACGGCTCAAAGTCTATAAAATAAGATAAAAGACATCCCTCAAAAGGACCTCAAATTTCCAGATTCCTCCTCTAAAAGAGTGATCAGCTACGACAAGAAGAAGTACTTTACGAGTAAGTCCCTTGTTTCCTTCAATAAAATTTAAACTATCTAATTGGGCATAGAAAAAGTACATAAATCAAAAACTGACAAGCAATGAAAATAAACTTAGCATGAAATTCCCTCGTCAAAAAGATTTAGGAGACTGTAGCTATCCAAAATAACAATCTAGGAGATCCTTTACTAGAGTCTAAATTCACCATAATGAGTACATCTGCAAGATCAAAACATAAATATCCAAAAACTGAGAACAAGAATAGAAGGAAAAATAGAAACCGAATAGGCAGTCTTGATGGATTCAAACACAAAATCTCTCTATCAAAAAGTAGGGGAAAGGATTCCAGGCAGCCTATTAAAGTCTCAAAAGGCCGTAAAGCACCTGGGAGGCTTAGTAAAGCTGCCTCCTTAGTGTCCCTTTTCGGGACCCATAATAACTCGCAACCTGATTCTTTGATAAAAACTCTGAAAAGGCCCAGAGTTAAAGTAGATATAAGGTCTGGTGGAAGAAAGAGTGCTTCAAATCTTCAAAAGAACTCTACCCATTACAACCTCCGAATGTCAAGCATCAACGATCTCAAGGAATACCTCACCTTAACAAAGATTGGCACTCCCATAAGGAAGCCCTCTAAACAAAAAGAGAGGCAGTTGAAGCAAAAAGCCAAAAGCAAGGTTTCTGAATATAAAGAAGTTAAAACCAAAGTACTTAATATTCCTACCATCAAGATCACTGGGTTAAAAGAGCTAGTCAATAATCAACCAAAGGAGGTAGTCAAAATTTCAGATGATTACACTAATAACTTTCTTAAAGACACTCTTAAGAACCCTCAGGTTGATAATAAACATGTGCTAAAAGTGAGTAATGTTGATGGGTCTCAAGAAAAGACTATTATTGATTTCATCAATAATAAAAGTAACGAAATACATTGTATAAACAACTCCTCACAAGATCAAACATCTTTCGAGCCCTCTGTAGCAGATGAAGTTGAGTATGACCCAGTTAAAGATGTTAGCTGAGAAGATTACTCAGTTCATTTAACTGATATGAAAATTAACGAAAGATTTAATGAATGCAAGATAAATTTGGTAAAGCAAATACAACCCAATAATTTTGGCTCCTCTGCTTTCAGATCAGACAGCAAAAGGAAATGTAATTACTCTACTCTTTCAAAGAATAGTAATAATAAAAATTTAACTACAAGGACTTCAAGCCAGTCCATAATCTCAAAAGTTAGGAAATCACCAACTCCAAAAGTTTTGCAGTCAACTATTAACTTGAGGGCTTTCAGAAGATCTCAGATAGACTCTTCAGACCAGCAAGGGTTGTTTCTTCAAAACAAGCCGTTTGTTTCAAAATCTGGGATAAAAAGTAGCCTAGAAGTAGCTCCCACACTCAAAGCCATTGCTTCTGCAAGGACCAGAACATTTATAAATAAATTTAACTGATAGTTTTTATCCTTGAGGGGTTTTGGGGTTTTGGGGTTTTGGGGTTTTGGGGTTTTGGGG